GTCAGAGGTGACTTTAAGAAATTATTCTTCTAGTCAATCTTTTGCTAAGGAAGTCTAGTAAGTTTCCTTTTTTTTTTTTTTATTACTGGTTGATGAGGTACAAAGGTTAAAACAAAGTGAAATACAATCATATGACATACTTTTTTTTTAAATGGTGTAGAAGATTGAAGCGCTTCAGTACAACAGAAAAAGAAAGAAGTATACCAGAAAAAGAAAAAAACTAAAGGTAAGATCCTATGAATTGATAGGCTTGGTGGTAGTTGTTGAATTAAAAAAAAAGAAGAAAGTAATCTTATTTAAGCTTGCTAAGTCTGTACAGTCCTTTACTGCAATAAATGAAAATAGATATGACTACATTTTCAATATCGTCTGCCTTAGAAATAGCAAAAATCTGTGATAAAGCAAAGACTTTTGTAAATAGAATTAGAATGTAATACAAAGCAATTATTTTTCATTAGGAAACAAAAATAGCTTAATCTAGCCAAGCAAATTTAAAAGATCTTATGATTATTCTGAAATATGTTTACCACAGGACATTTTGAAATGACATCACTTGAAAAACAACTTTCAAAACAAAAGAACTGGCAATTAGTTGATAGCCTTTGAAGCTTGGTGATAGGTGATAACCTTAGCTCCTTCGGTAAGCTTTATTCCTTGGAATTTTTCATTATAAAAAACCTTTTAAGGTTTCAAAAAATTCTATAATTAAATACTGAAGAAAATTGATTGTGAATCATTAACATCTTACTCCATAGACACTGAAATACAATATAAAATTTAACGGCAAAATATATTTTATTTAATAAAATCAAAATAATCACAGCGTAATTTTATTAGACACAATAATCATACAGTAAATAAAAGCTAGTATTATTATTATTAGTTCCTGTGGAATCACTAAATTGAAACTCAAATATCATCTCAAAGAAATTTAAAACTGAGAAAAAAATTTTCCAATCAATAATATTAAATAGGGTAAGCAGACTACTGAACTATTTCTGGATAAACTGGTGATTTACAGATAATCTGCTCACTAACCCCTCTGCCAATCAGATTGAAAGAGTCAATAATGATAGCAAAAGTTTTTGTTTAGGGACTGATTCAGTGTCATGATAGTTGACATTCATCCTCCTCCACTGCGCTCTTCCCCTCTCAAAAGACAAATACGTGGAAACACCAAAGACCATGTAAAGAGCACAGTTCACAGCTTTTAACCCAGTAATGCTTGAATTTCTTCAGTATCTTCTTGTGTATAATATACCGTTTTTGTCTCTAACATTTATTGTTATGAAAGACAAAATATTATTTTTCTAATCCTTGTAATTTTATTTCCTTTAGCATACTGAAGAAAGTAATCAATAGTAGTAAATAGATAATAAAAATAGTGATCATTAAGTGTAAATTCACCCCGTGTATTTGTTTTCACACAGATCACAGGCTCATCATGCCTCCATTACCTTTCCCATCTGCTTCTACTCTACTTCAACTCTTTCCTTAAAACTAGTAATTTTGTCGCCTATTTTTTTTCTAGCCATCTCTATCTGAATTCATGAAACAACAGGACTTCAACCTTACTCACTTTCCCTTACTTATCATCAGAGACATTAGAGTTTGACCAGGCTACTGGAAATAACACCACAAACCACTGCAGAGGCCAGCCCATACTACAAGATCATTAAACACAGGTAAATAAACCTTCAGAATGATGTAGGTATTCCCCTTCTGTGAGCAAAGGTCTGGAATAAGTGATAGCCTGGACTCATTTCTGGCTCTAAAAGGGGTTTCTATTAAAATCTACACAAAAGCTATAAAAACTCTACAAGGCAGAGTAGCCGATTAAACTATGGAAAGAGTGGGAAGAGAACAAGCCAGGCAGATAAACAATATGAAGGCAATGAGGAAAGACTGACTAGCCCAGATCAGCATTGAAATAACAGCCTACCCCACACTCCTAAAGCAGAATGACAGATCCGGAACTCGAACAGAGCCTTACTTTGAGATTAGTTTCTCTACTTCTTGCTCCAGTGAAATACACTTTCCTTAAAAATCAAACAAATGTTATAAGGACTCTGAAAAAAAAAACCTAAATTTCAGAAGACCTAGATATATTTATATATTACTTGTTTGCAGAAGAGTTTATAGTGTTGGCTTTAAGAAACAGAGAATAGAGAGTGAATGAGAAACATCAAGGTTATGAATAAAATTATAATATGCAAAGCACTTAACAAGAAGAGTAAGCTACAGTAAATGGGAATTTTAAGCAAAAGGTGGCATGTGGATTGCACCTAGTAACTTTCACTCCCATTCAAAACTGAAATAAAAAGTAAAAGATAAAGAAAAAAATAAACAAGCTATAAACCCACAAGGACAAAGAGAACAGAAAAGGAGGCAGGAATTAAACCGAGAAACCCTGAAAGCCATCCATCAAATGGAAATTCACTGGGAAAGGTTAATTCTTCCAAGCCAGCAGATAGAAAAGCTGAAAAACCACTTGCTGTATACTGCAGAAACCATAAATGGTCCAAAACGTTGGCAGTTCCAGGCAGTCTAGAAGTAGAGCAGGAGTGCTAAGCGCCTCCCTGCTCTGCTCAGGTAACGTCCTTCCCCTCCACGAGCAGAGCAGATCGCAGGACTTACTCCCCACGGGGAGATCTGAAACTGGAGTAAACTGCGCAGCAGACAGAGGTGAGCACAGGGGCACTTACAAGAGTACCTCAAAATGTTACACAACAAATTATAATAGAAACCATTTTTAAAAGCACTCAGCTCTCAGAATGCTGACCAGGTAGTAGATCAGAAGAGACATTTTGTGAAGGCCAGCAAGCCCAAGAGGAGATCTAAAGAAAACCAGTGCTTCACATTCACATTGTAACAAAGTTTCAGAGTGTACAAGATCTACATAAACAGTTTCCCATCAGTGTTGTAGTCACCCACTGTTCACTTAAGTCAAAATCAAAACACTGCCAAACATGTGAAGATTGTCCAAAATAAGTCCAAAATAAACCAGAAGCCTACCACCTAAGGACATAAAGGCTATGTAAATAAAAAAGAAAACCATAAAAGGCAAAGGAAGCAATAAGATAACATGAGTACATTCATGTGACAGAATACTAAAGAAAATATTCAAAGAACAATATGAGTAAAAAAGAATGAGCCCCGTGCAACAGCTCAATCGGCTAATCCTCCCCCCCACGCACCCACCCAGGCTCCACAATGCCATTAAGGGTGCCAATTCATGTTCCTGCTACCTTGCTTCCAATTCTGCTCCCTGCCTAAGGCCTGGGAGAGCAGTAGAGGATGGACGAAAGTCTTGGGACCTTACACCCACGTGGGAGACCAGAAATAAACTCCTGCTCCCTGGCTTCAGATCAGCTTAGCTCCAGCTGCTGTGGCTACTTGAGGGGGTATAAACCAGTGTATGATCTTTCTGTCTGTCTCTCCTTTTTTCTATAAGTCTGTCTTTTCAATAAGACAAATAAATCTTTTTTTACAATAAAATTTAAAAAGAAGTAAAAAAGAAATACGTGAAAAATGCTGTGTTAATTTAAAAAAAAAAAAACAGTCAAGATGAAGTTACAGATGCATCCCAAAAAGCAGAGGAAAATATATTCTGAGATGTAATGTGGGAAGAGTAAAGATTAAAAAAAAATTAGAAAACTGGGGCAAGCATTTGGCCTAACAGCTAAGATGTCACTTAAGATGCCCACATGCCTGGGTTCAAATCTCAGCTTCAGTTCTGATTTCAGTTTCCAGAAAATACTGACCCTGGAAAGCAGCGCACGATGACCTGAGTAGTCGAGTTCCTGACACCCACCTCACTAACCTGGATTGAGACATTGGCTCTGGAGTGAACTGGCATACGGAAGCAGTGTATATCTGTGTATTAAAAGACCATGAAGTTTCATAATGCTGATTTTGAGAGCCCTGTGATAAATTAACACAAGTTACACGAAAGACAAAGACTTAGAATGTTTAACGGTAATACTGAAACTCAAAGACAACAGGACACTGCCACCAATGTTGTAAGGGAAAATTTCCTCCTAACTATAATTTGATTTTTTTACAGATTTATTTTTATTGCAATGTCAGCTATACTGAGAGGAGAGACAGAGAGGAAGATCTTCCATCCGATGATCCACTCCCCAAGTGACCACAACAGCCAGCGCTAAGCCAATCTGAAGCTAGGAGCCAGGAGCTTCTTCCTGTTCTCCCACATGGGTGCAGGGTCCCAAGGCTTTGGACTGTCCTCAACTGCTTTCCCAGGCCACAAGCAGGGAGCTGGATGGGAAGTGGTGCTGCCAGGTTTAGAACTGGCACCCATATAGGATTCCCGCGCGTGCAAGGAGAGGACTTTAGCCGCTAGGCTACTGCACTGGGCCCTATAATTTAATTTTTTAGGCAAAAATATCTTCTCAGCCTTAAAAAAAAAAAAAAGCAAAAACAAAAAAAAAAAAACCTTCCATGCTTGATCCTAGAAATTCTGACATTTCACTGAAACAAGGCAGTAAGTTAAGTCACAGCATTCTAGAAAACAAAAATCCACTTAATAAAGACCAAAGAGAATCCCCATGCTGAGGGCAGAAGACAGCAGAGTGCAGAGGCCCATCAATCAATTCCTCTGAATTGGAGAATAGGAGCAGGTGATAAAAGAGAAACACTTTATACAGACAAAACATATTCTTCTGGACTGTTTTGTGTACAGACTGCACATGTTAGGTGCTGAATCACGTCAATTACTTATAAGTCCTTTCCAATATATCAAGCGAATGAAAAAGACACCCTAAAAATTTTAAGCTCTCATTCTCCAAAGAGGCTTTCTAATTTAAGGGCTATATGTAAGGCTGGCAAGCAGTTATACACTTGTTCCATATTTTCTTCACTTTTAGCAAAAGTAGATTTAAATGGAAAAAAAAAAAAAGGAAACCATAACATCCTTAATAATCTCGAAAGTTCCAGTCTCCTACTGAGATGAAAACACTCTTTTCTATCAGGCTTGCACTATGAAAGTCACAGGCATCACAGCCTTCCTTTGGCTTCTCTCCATGCTATTACCGGACAAGAGCCAGACTTCTAAAACAGTAAGTTTTTACAATGAAGGTAGTGAAAATATTTTTTTTTAAATATGTTTTCTGTGAATCTAGTAAAATATTCTCAGGCAAAATGAGGGGGGAGTTCACAATTACAAAATTGTGTACTTTCAGTGTATGATTTCTGAGCCAGACTCTGGTGTTACAAAAGTGGTCTTCATTTTTAACAACTGAATCTTTTAAAAACAGATTAAAGGAAAACTGTGAATTTTCACTATTAAGTCAAGAGATTGGCTTGCCAACATTAAAAAAAAATTAAAATGTGGGAAATTTCTCTTAAAGAAAAGCATGTATTAGGAAATTTAGTAGTGACATTTTTGGGGATACAGTTCAACTACACACCTGACAAAACAAGAATTATTTCTTTGAGTTTACATCTAGAAAAGGAAAATGTGTGGCCCGTAACATCCAAACAAAGGTTAACTTTCTGACACAAAGCATATCTTTCCTTTTAAAATACCAGATTTGGCTCTGTTAACTTCACAGAGCTATATATTAGTTACTGTTTCATAGTTATTTAATTAGGCAGAGTGCCATAATCTTTGATTTTTTTTTTACAAAGGTTTTCTCAAATAATTTCATTTTAAATTTCTACCTTGCTTTCTGGAATATTAAATAAGTTAACAGAATTGCTGTTTACCATGCAACAACAAATATGGTAATATACCAATATTCTATTAGTAATGACCAATATATACAGTATATTGTTACATTTATATACCACATATAACAAAATAGAATCCCCAGCTTAATTGCATCAGGATTTCCTTAATTATCAGCATTTCATCCCAAAAGAGAAAGAAAAACATTTGCACTGCCTTTTCCCCCTTCTTCACCAAAAGCCTGGGCGGTAGTTTCCTTTTCAAAATTATTTTCTACCAACTCATAAGAGCACAGATATGAAATTGCAAGAAATTCTGTTACTACTTTTCCTGACTAACTCATTTCTATTTTTTCTTCTTTTAGGAAATTAAATGTAATTTCACTGAAAAGAAATACTATTTGATTCCAGCGAATATCAGTAAAGATGTTACCATACTTGACCTCAGTTATAACCAAATTACTCTCAATGTTACAGACACAAAGGTTCTACGGCAGTATTCCTCACTCAGTGAGCTCTATTTAATTGGGAATAAAGTTACTATCTTATATAATAATAGCTTCCACAGCCTCTCCAATCTAGAAATTTTAAATATCTGTAACAACTTCATCTCTGTAATTCAACAAGATGCATTTAGAGGTTTACATAAACTCAAAGAGTTACATGTCTGCCAAAATCATATATCACAACTGAATCCTGATGTATTTGTGCCTCTAAAAAACCTAAAATTTCTAAATCTACAAGGTAATTCAATAAGCTATTTGGATGTACCACAATTATTTCATTTGGAATTAATAATTTTATATGGAAATCCATGGAACTGCTCCTGTAGTCTATACAATTTACAGAAATGGTTGAACACATCAAATGTGACACTAGGTAAGCTATCAAAAGTTAATCTAAACCAAGGTGTGGCTTAAACTTTTGGTGTTCTGGTCCAGAAAAATCTTACGTCATGCTTTCTTAAAAGGGAAATGATTGGGGTTAGCATAAAGGCACAGTGAATCAGACCACTGTTTGGGACTCCCACATTCCATATCAAATTGCCAGCTCAAGTCCTAACTACTTGGCTTCTGATGGAGATTGCTGCTAACACGCTTCGGAAGCAGCAGATGATGGTTCCTGAACTCACATTCCTGCCTCCCACAGGAGACAGAGCTGCTGGCTCCAGTCCCAGGAGTGAATCAGTGAATGGAATCTCTCCTTTTCTCTCCTTCTCTGTCACTCTGCCTTTCAAACACATAAGTATGTTAATGAAAACTAAAAGGAAAATGCCCTCTGCTTAATGGAAATTGAAGAAAAATAAAAGTAAAAAGTAACTGCAGAATAGATGTTGTCCTTCCCTCATTCCAGGAAAAATAATGTTATATATATTTACACATATATATGTTTACATACATATATATGCATATATATATATCTCACTTTATGCATTAAGTTTGAAAAATCAATGTATAACCACATTTCCATCTCTAAGTCCTTTTTCTTTACTCTTGAAATATCTTGCCAGAGGAGGTGGAAACAGGTGTCTTTGTGAATTGCAAACCATGCTCTGAGAACCAGATTGCAGTAGTCTTACCATAAATTCTTTACTGACTCAAACTGAACATTAAACAAAGACATTTAAACTGTATTTACAAAAGAATATAGTAAGATGGAAATATATATCATTTCTTCATTGTGTTGTTAGGAAAATATAAGGTTCTTATGTCTGTAATAATGACAGACAAGTCAAAAACTCTAAGTAAAAAATAGAAAATGCTAAGCGTTTGTATTTTCTGTAATGATGTTCATCCTCTCTTATTTATTAGAGAATGAGAACATGACCACGTGTAACTATCCTGATACTCAACAGAAGTATAATATCAAAACAGCCCCTTATGCAGCTGAATGCCACTCAATATTCACTTCACCTGTAATGGGAAATCCTGACCTTTATTTTCAATTCATCACCAATAATGGTTCTCTGAACAACTTAACAGGAAATTCAGGTAAGGTTCTGGTTTGAAATATTTTTTTAAAAGATTTATTTTCATTGGGAAGTCAGATATACAGAGAGGAGGAGAGATAGAAAGATCTTCCATCCAGTGATTCACTCCCCAAGTGAACGCAATGGCCGATGCTATGCCGCCAATCCAGAGCAAGAATCCAGGAACTTCTTCCAGGTCTCCTACGGCGATGCAGAGTCCCAAGGCTTTGGGCTGTCCTTGACTGTTCTCCCAGGCAACAAGCAGGGAGCTGGATGGGAAGTGGAGCTGCTGGGATTAGAACTGGTGCCCATATGGGATCCCGGCACGTTCAAGGCAAGGACTTTAGCTGCTAGGCCACGCTGCTGGGCCCCTGTTTGAAATATTAATGTTGCTGAAGTGTCAAACAGAATAAACTTAAGTCGCTCTCTATCTTTCTCCATTTTAAATTCTGGAAGCACTATAAAACAATTCTTCATCTAAACAAAAGATTTACAAAGTACTACGACCCCAGATTAGGCTCTTCAGGTTACCATCCAATGCCACTGTGTAGTATTCAATTTCTCTGAGCCTTTGCTTTAACCAATCAAGTTATAATCCTTAATGAGTATAAATCAGTAACAGTCTTAGGAAATGGGTGACACAACTGCAAACACAAGTATAGGTTGAATATCCCCTATCCAAAACGCTTAGAACCAGATGTGTTCTGAGTTTTAGATTTTTTGTTTGGGATTTTGAAATATTTATGTGTACATAATCAGGTATCTTGGGAATGGGAGCCAAGTCTGAACAAAAAAGCTATTTGTTTCATACACATTTTAATGGTATTTTTAGCACGCCTTTGTTTTGACTGTGATCCTTCACGAGTTCAGGTGTGGAATTTTCTGCTTGTACCCTCATGTGCCAGGCCTCTCACAGTTTCAGATTTTGCAATGTTTTGAATTTGGAGGGGTATAAACGCTCAAATTGTAGTTGTGTTTTTAAAATATTTATATTTTGTCACCACAACATAAAGGATCTTTTAATAAGTATGGTTTTAGCAATTTTTGCCTAAATAAACTTATAAGTATGCTCAGTGACAGGGGGAGTAGTAAGACAGGATGATGATTATAAAATTTTTGTCAATTTAACGAAGTTTTTGTCTCATTTTTCTCTACCATTTAAGAACATGAACCTCTCGGAAAAAGTTGGGCTTTTCTTGTCGGTGTTGTTATCACTGTACTCATTACTTCGTTCCTTATCTATATGGCTATCAAGTGCCCCGTATGGTACAATCTTCTGGTCAGTTACAACCATCATCGCCTGGAAGAACACGAAGCAGAAACATATGAAGATGGCTCTACCGGAAACCCAACTTCTCTTTCAGAGATACCAGACGCAAACCCTGCAGACACTACAGTAATATTTGAACAATTACATTCATTTGTCATAGATGATGATGGCTTTATTGAAGACAAGTATATAGATACGCACGAAATACACGAAGAAAATTAATCTTTCAACATGTGTTTTAAGAAATAGCATCAGTCCACGTGCAATTTAAACATGGAGATTCTGAACCAAACTATTGCTATAAAGTACTACATGAATGAAGACAACACACAAAAGCACCCTAAAATTATTTTCTCATTATTTTAAGAAAGAAGCTCCAACTACAGTAGTAACTAACCCACGTGGAGGTAACAATCTACAGTACTAGCACTGTTTTTCTCAGCAGTATTCAGGTGATCATACAAGAATCCACAAAGAAATCATGAATTATAACAAATGGATTCTCATATTAACAGACACTTGGTGCAATACGCATTAAGTTATAATTGAGTTCAAATCAGTAAAGAAATAAAGCTTTTGGATTATGAGTCAAAGTAAGGAGTGAACATAGCTTACTCTACACTATGTAAGATTGTTCACACAGAAAATTCATGGAATTGAATTTGTCATGAATTACGGGCCAGCACAGTAGCCTAGCGGCTAAAGTCCTCATTTTACACACGCTGGGATCCCATATGGATCCCATATGGGTGCTGGGTTCTAATCCCAGCAGCCCCACTTCCCATCCAGCTCTCTGCCTGTGGCCTGGGAAAGCAGTTGAGAATGGTCCAAGGCCTTGGGTCCTTGCACCTTCATGGGAGACCTGGAAGAGGCTCCTGGCTTCGGATCAGCTCAGCTCCGGCTGTTGTGGCCCTGGGGGAGTGAATCATCGGACAGAAAATCTTCCTGTTTGTCTCTCCTCCTCTTTCTGTATATCTGACTTTTCAATGAAAATAAAATAAATCTTCAAAAAAATTGTATTGGCAATTCAAAGCACAGGAAAAGTGTTGAACCAAAATCTTTCAGTAGATTAATTCCTAGTTATGTTGATATGCACTGTCATCATAAGGCACCACCACTATAATTTAATATCAGTTGGCTTCCAAACTGCGCATCGCAACTATCCAAAGGTCTTGTTTCTAAAAATACGTATTTCTTCCTTTCTCTGGGAAATTTTATTGGAATGCATCTGTTCTGGAGCTTAGAATCTTCAGGTGGTCCACATGGAAAGCTGTTAGAGACTCAGTAGGTGAAGCAATGTTTGCTGAATTGTTTTTGGTAATGCTGATTTCTAGTGAGATATTAAGCACATAAAGAAAAAGATTTATGGTCAAACTACCACAAGAACCACCAGGTTCAACTAAAAAGAAACAAGATTCCAAACTAAATTGCTCTGTGATCATTCAAGATTAACGCGCTAAGACGCTTTAGTTACTGTACAACAGAATATTTTGAGTTATATTTAATAAGAGTACATAGCACAATAATAGTCCAAGAAACAGCAGGAAACAATGACTTTGACAATAATAGGGACTATCTAAAGTGAATTATTTGCTGTTCCTTGTAATCAACTGGTAGCTATTCCAATTGTAATAACATTACTACCTACAGTGATATCAAAAAACTCTAGCAAAATCTACTAACTTTTATTTTCTATGAGGAAAGTAGATGTTTTTGTATCTTTAAAGATGAACACATCACTGAAACACTGACATTTTTATAGGTGAAATAACATGGGATTTTCTTCATCTAAATACACAGAGGAGACTAGCTGCCACAGCTGTGGATGAGCAGGTTTTGGTGGGAACTGACCAAAGCTGGGAGACGTACATTTGGATATGGCATTTTAATGTATGTTAATTATCCTGATGATAACAATTTTCAAAGTATGCATGTACTTGACAATTTCTTTAAAAAGAGTCACCAAGCATATTGCATATCTATGCCATAATCTGCAGAACAGTCATCTTAAAGGTTCTGCAAGAGCAGTCATCAGTGCAGCAGCTGTAAGGCCACTTAGGACATGCGTTTTCCATACTGGAATACCTGGGCTCAAGTCCCAGCTCCACATCAGATTCCAGCCTCCTATTCATGCATTCTGGAAGACAGTGGCTGCTGGCTCAAACAGGTCTGTGCTCCCAGGTGAGAGACCTGGATTAACCCTTACACTCTTGGCTTTGACCCAGCCTTGCTCTAGCTACTGTGAGCATCCACAGGGTGAATCTGTACACAGAAGATCTCTCTGCCTCTGTCTCCTGCTTTCAAGGAAAATAAGTATGCAAGCTATATAAGTTAAATTCAGTCCAAATGCCAGTTCAAATGTTTAGCACGTGAAGCAGAACTTAATAAAAATGCATACTTGCTCCATTGTAAGAAATATGTTTTTAATTAAAGGAAACAATTTTTAAAAAGTGGTAATTGAGAAGTATTACAAAATGAAATACAAATGAGTAAACATGACATCTAATATCTTAATATTCAAGAACCTCTGATCATTTAATATTGGCTACTCAATAATTATCTGCCTAAATAAAGAAAATAAATGAGTATAAAATTACAACAGTTGTTTCAATTAACAACTGATTTTGACTAATATAGACATCAGAATTGGAAGATTTATTTTATTTTCAAACTAGTATGTGAAAAATGAAGACAAGTTTCTAAATATTACTGAAGTGATATCAAGAATGTATACCGATTCATCTACACTAAGATACTACTCAGCTATTAAAAAAAATGAAATACTTTGTGGCCAAATGGGCCAAACTAGAGACCATTATGCTAAGGAAAATGAGCCAATCCCAAAAGGTCAGATATCATATGTCTGCTCTAATATAATATGATGTCAAATCTAGGGATATTATATGTGATTGTTACTCTATGTCACTTCATACTTACCTGTACCTTCTGTAATGAGATCTTATGATGTAATTCATTAATCAACCATCCCTAAGAAGCTGGTCGTTTATAATCACCTGAGATGGTCAATGTCCCCTTTATCACTGTTATTGGTACTGCACATAATGAAGACCTAATCCTCATTGTACCTCCATTAGGGCCTCAGAATACAAGAATGAACTCACAAGCAAATGTTGGAGTCTCCTACATGGTTGGGAGACACTCCAACAGCAGCATGATGGACTTGGGAAATTTCACTAAAGACACACATTGTGAAAATGGAGGGGAGACCAGAGGGGAGGGGAGGAAGCTTGGAGGAGGAGGAAGGGAGAACTCAGCACCAACTAAATTGTAACAAAAAATAACTAAAAAAAAAAAAAGTGAGTGGGTTTGAGTCCTGACTCCAATTCTAATTTCAGTTTAACCACTACCATGCACCCGGGTAGGCAATGATGGCCCCAGTACCTGGATACCTGCCACCCATGTGGAACGCAGGACTGAGATGCAAGCTCTTCACTTCAGCTGGGCCCAGCCTTGGCTGCTGTGGGTATTGCAGCAGTGAGCTCACAGATGATAAATCCCCCCTCTCTCCTTCCACTATGTCTCCACACAAGCGATTTTTCAAAGTGAAAAAAAAAGTATACTACAACCAACTTTCTGTGAATAGGTTTTCCATATTTAACCAGGTGACTGCATCATACTAGAGGATAGTACTGAAAGAGTGAAAACAGAAACTTTTTCCACCAGTCTTTCTAAAACGTGTTATTTCCTAATCACTTTGAATATACAGTCAAGTTTAAGTTCCTTGAATTATTGAGATACTAGCCATCTGTTTAATATAAGACATAAATTTGTCTCTTAGCTATCTATAAAATAAATTTCTTTTTTCTTTTTAAGATTTATTCTATTTTTGTTACAAAGTCACATATACAGAGAGGAAGAGAGACAAAGAGGAATATCCTCCATCTGATGATTCACTCCCCAAGTGAGTGCAACAGCCGGTGCTGCGCCGACCTGAAGCCAGGAACAAGGAACCTGTTCCGGGTCTCCCACGTGGGCACAGGGTTCCAAAGCCTTGTGCCATCCTTGACCGCTTTCCCAGGCCACAAGCAGGGAACTGGATAGGAAGTAGAGCTGCCGGGATTAGAACCGGTGCCCACATGGGATCCCGGTGTGTTCAAGGCAAGGACTTTAGCCACTAGGCCACGCCGCTGGGCCCATAAATTTCATTTTAAATACTTCTGTTCTTAATGTAAATTTCTGCCTAAGTGACAGCAGGCCTATTTCACTCAGCTTTAACTACAAATTGTACATATAGTTTTGAAATTGCTAAGTTACACTCTAAGGAAAATTTACATGTTTTAAAGTTTTTTCCTGTACCCAGTGTGTTGGCATAGCTAGCTAATGCTCTGCCTGTGGTGCCAGCATCCAATATGAGCACCAGTTCCTGTCCTAGACACTCCACTTCTAATTCAGCTCCCCTCTACTCATGGCCTGGAAAAGCAGTGGAGGATGGCCCAATGCCTGGGAACCTTGCACCCACAGGAGATCCAGAAGAAGCTCCTGGCCCCCACCTTTGAACGGCCCAGCTCTGGCTGTTGCAGCCATTTGAGGAGTAAACCAGTGGATGGAAAACATCCCTTGCTATCTGTCTCTCCCATTGTCTCTCTGTAACTCTGGCTTCTAAGAAAAATAAAATGAATCTTTAAAAAAAGAAATGAATTTTTTCTTTAGTCAAATGAAATGAACACAAGATTTTAACAAGCTTCAATTCATAATCTGGGAATTACATTTTTGTATGAAGTATCTATAAAACACATAACTATAACACTTATAAATCTTAAGTGGATATTATAGAACTGTGAGGAAAAAAAGAAATGGGCCTTAAATCTTCTAAACTCTTCAAGGTATTTAGAAAGTCGTACCTCATACATCTCCTACTTTTTAAGGAGAGTATTTCTACATAATAATTGATGGTTATTTGCTAAATGGTTTAAAAACAGGAAAAAAAGTTTTCAAGTAAGAATCTGGTCACCATGAATGGAAATTTCTTTGTAATAGGAGAGTCCATTAGTATTACCAAGTAAGCATTTTTTACCTGCATCAAATGATAGATAAGGGGCCATAGACTTCATTTTATCTTTCAAATATTTTAGCATCTTAGTATTTTCAAACAGACACTATTTATACAAATAGCAGTTTCTTGGTATTACCATATTTTGGCAATTTTGGTTAATTACTATTCATGTTCCCAAAGAAATCATAAATGTTCAGAGACAATTTCT